GCCAGAGACAATATTTCCTATTCTCTACACACCACAGGGCACACACTATAATCTGATATAGGGTAAAGGTACTTTAATAATTATTATTATTAAAAGCAAACAATCAACTCTATAGATCAACAGCTCTTTTCCAACATGTTTTCTAATCTCTGTTTCCTCTCAGATGCATGGTTATTGTGCACCTGGAAAGGCCCCAAACTGATAGCCAGAAATCTGCCACCACCACCCCTTCTGCTGTTCCTGCCATCATATTTAATTGTGTTTGCTCAACTCGAAGCCAAACTCATATGCAGTATATTTAGATGGTTAAAATAGCATAGCACTCTACTGTATTCACAGATTATTTTCAACAACACAATTCTTGGGAATTAGTCTGGGATAAATAAGGTAAAGAGAAAAGGAGCAACATAAATTGGTTCCAGTGACAAAGAAAACAATATCAAAGTGGCAATCTGGAGATCCGCCATGAGTGAAGGAATAGAGTGTTCCTTTTGGTGCACTCTCCTGAAATGCAATCACCATCTCATTTGCTAGTCTGGATTTATTTTAAAGTGGGTTAGAATGAAAGCAAGAAATGAATAGTAAAGAACTGTGAAAAGCACCTTTATTATTTCAAAAGATCAATGTACAATCACTATACTTATTCTTATACGGCATTAAAGGTAAAACTGTAGAACTGATATATATGTTGATTTTCTGAACCTCTAAGGAGTCTCTATTTTCTATGGTGGCAAACTTTCTAAGTTGAAACATATATTTCATTAATACATATTCAGGATTCCTTTATGAGGTCTCAACTACTGTACATTTCTTCAAATGCCCCCCAAATCACTCAATTTACAATGGCTTGATTGGATGCTATGGTTATTTAACTGCACCTTATATTTTTCACCTTCCATTTTTAGTATCACTTAAGAAATCCAAACTCAATCTTCCAAATGTCCAAAGACTTAAGAATCATGGAGTAAAAGACAGACTTTGTTGCTGACAAGATTATGGCTTGAATTGGATCAGTTAATTAAAAATAAAGAATACCTTCCTGCTTTGATCTAAGCCAAATTTCAAATATCAACAACAACAACAATAATAGGCATTTGAAACATAAGAGTTTAACTAATATGATTTATCCAAATTTTGAAAATGCAGAGAATAAATATGCAGTTAGATAATTTTTTATTTGTGATTTACCAGAGTATATTTCTTGTGCTTAAATGACTATTAATCAAATATCACATTTTTGAGGATACCTACTTTACGTTTGTCTGTCAGCAGCCAGTTTTTTTTTTCTCTGCATTTTTATTCCACATTCATTCATTAGTTAACTCAACAAATATTGCTTAGAGCCTACTAGGTGTTCAGGGCTGTTCTAGGTATTGGAGGCACAATTGAAATAGGTAGGCAAGGTGTTAATCTCAAAAAGATCGTATCTTACTGCCAGGGGTAAGGTTAAACAAACAGAAATTAAGATTTCAGATAGTGATAACTCAGTTAAGGAAACATAATTTAGGATAATACTAGTGTGACCAAGAGGGCTGCTTTAGATGGGTGATAGGGAACAATCACTCTCAGAAGGCAATATTTACTCCAGATGGGCAAAATGGTGCTGGCCATGTGAAGAGCGAAGGGAGTTGCAAGTACCAAAGACCCTATAGTGGGAAAGAACTTAAAGAATCCGAAGAACATAAAGAAGGCAATATGAGCATCATGAATTAGAGGGAGGTATTTTGAGATGAAGTCTGATAGTGAGCAGAAGGTACATCCCTGCCAAGGACCCAGGCATCCACTTCAAGATTTGTTCTGCCTTTGGAGTCAGCACACATGCAGTGTGTGGAACATACCAATACGGCCTCAGGTAACAGATATAGCTGGCGCACTGCAGATTCTCTCTTTTATGTGTCTAAACTGTCCCTCAAGTATTCATCTCTTATGTCTCTATCTCCTCAGTGGTTTACTTGGCCTTTTGCCTCTCTTACTTTCTCATTTTCTCACTATTGGTCTTCCAGACCTAGAGGACCACTTCCTGGTCCAATCTGATACATGTCCTGATCTTCCCTGTTGGTTTAGGCATGGCGTCTATATAAACTTGGTCTGGAAGCTTGATCTTGCAACTAAGCCAAAATGGAACTTATTATTTCCTTACATGACCAGAACTAAACTGCTGCTGTTACTATTTTTCTTAACATGTATCACATTTTCAATTTTCAGAAATATTTCTGTATTCTTTAACCTTTGATTGTGACAACAATATCTACAAGGTAGCTAAATAATTATCATTATTTCCTTTTTTTTTTTTTTTTTGGTGGTGAGGGGGAGGCAGATACCAGGAATTGAACTCAGGGGCACTTGACCACTGAGCCACATTCCCAACACTATTTTGTATTTATTTAGAGGTAAGGTCTCAATGAGTTGCTTTAGTGCCTCACTTTTTGCTGTGGCTAGCTTTGAACTTGTGATCCTCCTGTCTCAGCTTCCCGAGCTGAGACAGGTGTGCACCACCGTGTTCAACTATCATTATTTCCTTTTAAAGTTAATAAAATCAAAGTTAGAGCTAAACTTCAGAAAATTAGAGATCCTTCTTTCCCATCTGTGTCTTGTTTTGGGGATGAGGGAGGTCTGTTCACTGTAAAAGATAAGTCCACAGAAGTTTTGTTGCCTATAGGAAAGTTGAAGAGCAGGTGCCAGAAATTTAGAGATAAATAGAAAGGATTCCCTTCTCCTGGACTTTTTTCATACTTGCATATTTGAGTTCACTTTCCTTTGTAATATGTCCTCAGACAACATTCACAGCCTCATTCATACATGTAGGTCTTAATACAGAGGTAATTAGTAGAAATATATTACCAATAAAGGGAGCAAAAGGGAACACATGATTTGGAAGAGAATTTGGAAGAAAGAACCAAAGATATTCAGCTGAACTGCTCTTTCATTCTCTTCTTCAGCTTTATCTAACCCCAAAGACCATGGTAGTAGGCAAAAGTATACCTCTGTAGATGTGGTCTCATTATCAAGAGTGTATCTTTCAGATATACAGGTTGTCAGAAAATCCAATGCACTACTTTTTAAAAAGTCAGCATTCTCAGATAGGTACTAATGAGAGTATCTTACAGAAAATAACAAAAGCAATTTTGTTGCTCATTCAACATTAATCAAAACTCACAAATAGCTTTCTTAAATGGGAAAGTGATAGAAGAGATTAAAAACTTTCTGATGTATTTCATCTTTTAAAGTAGATCAGTTAGGTTCATTGGAGCTTGGGGTGTGTAGTACTTTGCAGTAGGATGCATTTCATGTCATTCTTTAAAAATCTAAGGTTCTTATTAAGATGAGATTCTAGCTGTTTCTATTAAAAATTCATGACCTTTTTTCCAGGAGAACTGTTTTGACCTGTTATTTCTAGCTGAATTTGTAGAAGTTCCTTTCTCTCACTCATTCATACACACATCTCAGGGAAATAGACTTTAATAGCTAGTGACTTAATTGAAGTATATCTAAAATTATTAAACAAAAATAACAATATGTAATTATGGTTAAAGCACAAATTCCCTTAGAAGCAACTATTACACAACACAAATGCAGTAAATTTTGAAGGACATGTCATCCCTAGAGTACCATTTATTGAATTAGATGCAGCAACTCCCAACTGAAGAAAAGTTTGTAAAATATTATACACTTAGTCTGCATGAACTCAAAAATTTCCAAAGAACAAAACTTGGAAATCCTTCCAAGTTTCCAGATAGACATTTAATGCTGTGCACACATCATGTAACTAACTATAGGATACACATCATGTAACTATTAACACTTCCTCTCACCTTTTCAGACAACTTTGGGAAAGATAGAAGCATGTCTGGGGTACACTGTACACAAACAGGGTCCACGCTGGATCACTGCCTGCCAGGTGATAAGCTTGCTATAGGAAAGGCTCTGTCCTTAATGGGGAAGTTTCAGGATTGTTTTGTTTTGTCCACGATGGTTGTGTGATCTTCAAGGTGAAATATTAGGAATACCATTATGACCACACAGCTAACCTACAGTTTTTATTAGCGATAAAGCTGATTCCTTTTTTAACCCTTCATCTGGGAAATACTACAATATTTCTCTTAGAGGACATTTTCTTATAAGCACCCAGATTTCTCAGGGATAATTTGGCAATTCTACTATGTCACTGTCGTTATTTTCTTTCAAAGAAAAAAACATTGGGAATACATTACAAAGATCATATAAAAATATTATAGGTAGAATAAGTGTAACTAATATAGGAGATATATATATATATATAATTTAAAATGTGAAAATTGATAGAGAAATTTAATTTTAAAAGTTTATAGGAGTTCACTGAAAACTACCAAGACATATTTGTAAAATCCATGTAAATTAATCCAAAAGAAAATGTGTATATAGTGTGCAAAATAAATTACAAGTTTAACTTTCTAGGCTGAAATCACACTATTATTTTATTGTATTATAATGGTGTATGTGTGTGTGTGCATGTATAAAATAATATGCAAATGAGGCTATAACAAGACAGTGCCAAAATAACTGGCTGAAAAGTAAAAAATTCAATCATGAAAGTTTTACTTATATGTTTCTCCTGATTAGACAAGTTGATTTGGTCTGGCATTTTGAATGCATTCATTAAATTGTTGTAAACAAAGGTATAGTATGATAATGTCATCCAAGTCAATAATTTTTGGTGTTTACAAAAGTGAACTATTAAATATACAAAGTTTAAAATTGACACTGAAGTCAACTAATTTCATTTTGGAAACAAAGTTTGCAAATGTTCATTACAGAAAACAGAATTTAGGAAGTAGGCTTATATAATTTCAGCCAGATTATTTCAAGATGAGAGACTGGAGAAAGAGAAAATAAAAGAGATTTCTCTGTTGACAAAATGTTTTTGCTTTTTCCCCAAAATGTTACCCACACATTTGTGTGTGCATGTGCACTCACACGATCTTCCCCCACCCCCAGATCCCCAAGATCCCCAATCTTATTACCTGTTTTTGAGCAGCACACTGAAGGTCATCTTATCCAGTCCCAGATAATTTGGCAGCAAGTTTGACCAGTTCCAGTTCCACTTTGTGATGACTGACTGTTGATAAATGAGAAGACACTATTGTTAGTTATTAATCAGAGTTAATATGATCAGTAAATTAAAGCTCCAGCTGTGATAGACTAACTAAGAAGGAGGGGGGTCCAGAACAAGGACTTAGACAGATAACATCAATCATGTCCACAGAAGAAGGTTTTTATTCCAAAAAGACAGCAATTAATTTATAAATCCATTTGGGAATGTAGTCATTACTTATAAAAATATAAATCAATTTCTTAAGTCGTTATTCTTCCAAGTGTTAATGGCATTTGCCCAACAAGTGTCTCTGGGAGGGTGACTTTTTGAAAAACAAAGCCAAATAATTGGCAACTTTTGTATAGCTCACTCTACAGGCAACTTTTGCATGAATCACTTCATATTTTTTTAGCACCCAAAAGTTTGATTAAAAAAACAAACTTAGTAGTGCTAAGACTCAAATTATAAGACCCACCATAATTAGAATATGACATTAATGTCATCTTTTTGGTCAAGAAAATGCCTTAAAGGGAGACTACAAGGACCTGCAAGTATAAATAACATAAATGATTCCCTTTTCTCATTAATAGATAATTTCACAACAGAGTAAAGATGAAAAAATACTGTGAAAAATGATCTCATAAATCAGAACTCAATACAACATGCCATTTATTTAAATGAAGTAAGGATAATTTAACAGCTATAATAATCATTTATGGTTTGAAGCAATCTAATGTACAATACAGGAAAACAGCCAATAAACTCAAACTTACATAATACATTTTGTTTTAAAGTATTATAGATGCTTATGCTCCTTAAAACTAAATAGTTTGGATAACAAGAGTCCAGGCTGATGTTTAAAATCCAACAAGAGCTATCCCCTGTCACCTGCTGATTAATCAAGCACTACAATCCTGTCATAGAGCAGGAGAATTCTGCCCCGGGTTGTCAGCATTTGAAGGTCTTATTCTACTACAGTATTGATGAATGTAGACGAGCACTATAAGAGGCATGGTAAAAAATATTATCTGCATGCCGAATTAGGCCATTGTTTTAATTCTTATTTTCCTCAGAGCTCTAGGTCAAGCAATCCTTCTCTTCTGCCCTATTAGTTCAAATTGTCTGTCAAGAGGTTTCTGGGAAAAGCTACCAGAAGAATGAACAAAGCAAAGCAACTTCAGATTTCAAAAACTTTGGCGGAAAGATGATCTTTTTAATGTAACTACTGAAACATGCAGCTTACACAATGGATAATCTGACATTTAAAAATGTATGGGGTTTATCACATTGACTTTATTCCAAATGTCCTTGCTTTAAGGTCATTAGTAAAATTCATTTGAAGTTTGGGGATATGTTTAGGGTTATAAAAAGAAAATTTATCCATGTCATTTAAAATAGAAGCTCAATGTTCTATTGCAATTCATTTAAAATTATTTTCTAATTAATCTAATACACTCAAAGATCATAAGGTGTTTTGTTCTCTCAGGGGAAAAGAAGTGACAAGGGAGAGGAAGAATATTACAAAATGCCTGATTCATTGTGCCTTCTATAGACACAACCTAACAGATGTTTGGTCTGCCCAGGGCAAACTGACCTGATCAAAAGTTAAGTTTTATAGACCGAACATATGAATCAGTTTGACAAATAGAAGGTAAAATAACTTCAAAAGACAATTTGAACAGAACATAGAAACTGGAATAAGGGATTTTTTGCTTCCTAGCCAAAAAAAATTAAGAAGCTTATGAGTACATATTCAAACCAAAGCATTTTCTTACTTGTATAGAGAAACCACACATCTAAATTAAAGTTACCATTTAATTTCTGCATACCTGATCTAGCATATTCTCACTGAACACCTTGTGCACATGGAAAGGGTTAAAGACAGAAGGCTGAGCTTCCACACTTCTCAAGGTCATCTTTAAAGGTCGGATGGGTAATGGCTTTTCCTCTGAACCATTCATAGAAAACAGATGTTCTTTTAAATATTCCTTTAAGAAAAAAATTACAAGTCACGATAGTGAGAAGCACATATTCTCTTTAAAAATAAACTGATCAATATCCAAGTTTACCCTTTCAGCACATTTGCAAGATTGCAGTGGATTCCTTGCCTGGGGAAGAATACATTTTTCAGAAAATACATAGATGAGTACCAATCAGCATTGCAATAAACCAATCAAAAAGAGGTTTACCTGTTGTACAGTATAGATTTAAAGCCCATTTAACAAACTCTCACATAATGAATGAATGCTTTATATGTCAGAGTCTTTCACAGGCATTGTCTAGTCACTGGTTCATGTGCTATCATGTCTGGTTACTAAAACGTAACTCAGGTGTGATTATGCCCAGTACGAGATTATTCTTTCCTTTATTAGCTATAGTTTGCTCCCTACTCCAGGCTCAGCAGAGTGCTAAGTATTCTGATATTTTCCTGCAAGAAGTCACATTCTAAGCAGAATTATTTATAATGCAAGCTCCTAAAGTCCATTTCTATTCTGTGGACTAAAAAAAAATCAAGGTGCTAAAAGCTCAGAATATGTAATTCTAATCCTCCAAGTGCCAGTGCAGTCCTGGGCAAAAAAAGAGATGATCTACTGCATTATACCTCATTTTCCACCCATAAATAAGTAAGGTGAACAAACAATCCTAGTTTATTGTGACCCTTCAGATGACCACAAATTTAAATGATCATAAATCTTCCATGAACTAACAAATGTTCGCTATTAATAAAAGTCATTTAATAAATAAAAATAATAAATGTTCTTCTGATTTTTAATATGCCACAATATAATTTGTTTTCTTCAAGGTTAAGGTTAAAACAAAGTTCAGAGTCTTAGAGATGAAAAGGACCTCAGAAGTCATCTAAAAATCATTGCTATTCAAGGTCTAGTGCATAGACCAGCAGAATCAGCTTCAACTAGGAGCGTATTAGCAAAGCAGAATTTCAGCCCTCACTGAATCAAAATCTGCCTGACAACTCCGGAATTCCCAAGAGATTGGGAGGAACATGAAAGTTCAAGAAAGTCTATTCCAACACCACAATCAATGGTTGCCTCTGAAAGACCAGGGGACAAGCCTGTGGTTACATAGAGGACAGTGGTGGAGTTGGAGAAAGAAACCACATACCTGGCTTTATTTCACTGTGCTTTCTCTTGAGCTCCTACAACTTTACAAACACCCATTGTGTCCATGGTAGAGGGAAAATTTCAGATTTTACTACCTAAGTGTCATCTAAAGAAACCACTACAAAAGCTAACTATAGCAGTCATTTCTTAAGCTTGCTCATTGTAACTTTAAGAAAAAGATTAATTCTATAGAGTCTGACAGAGTGGCACACATGAACTTACAAAATATGTTTAGATGATGATAAAGCCATCACAAAGAAATTTTATGCCTAGATATAGATTACTGAATAGAAACAAAGTTTTTCTCCCTTGTGATTTATGAAGCAAAATTTTAAAAAGGATAAAAACACTTCCTTCATTGGGAAAATATGCTTTGTTTTGGCTAATATTTTTTTTAATTAATTGACCCTTACATAACCATATTTTTATCTTTTGTTTCTATTATTCAAAAAAAGTGCTCTGTTACAAGTTGTGAACAAACTGGCATTTTTCTCCCTTGTTAAACTACTATATTGACAGTCATCAGTACCCTTTCTTAAAAAAAAAAAAAAAAAACCTGATTATTTTACTATGACATTCTTTTAAATAGATGGCTTAATCAGGCCTATTTGTCCAGAATATGTCCATTCTTTCTTGAACACCTTCTCTGTGCAGTTAAACCAAAGTTCATTTTTTTATCCATTATTTTTTTCCCTACTTCTCTCCACTGAAGTGTCCCCACCTGCCTGATGGTCCCAACTAGCACACTCATTGAACACGACCAAATCTGGGTTTCTCATCTGTGTTCATGGCCAGGATAATTTTAACCACAATTATACTTTTTTGCTCAATCATCTTACTTTCATCTCAAAGACAAACCTTTAAACCCACTTTCCTTCACAACTTCTCAGTCTCTATAAACTACAAATGCATTCTTCCCCTTAGCTGGGCCTATACCCATAACAGAACCCATATTACATTTTGAGTGACGTTTAGCAACACGTGTGAAGGTGCTAAAGATTCACAGTACTACTCATCAAATGAGCAAAACTCACAGTGCATTTGCACCTACAGCACATAATGCCACCCATTTAAAAGCAGCCATGAGCCTACATTAGTCACTCAGCCACCTTGGTATTGTTTGAGTTTATTGTCTGTGTTTTCTAATTAGTCTCCTACTTGCTATACTTTTAGTCTTACCTAACATACCTCTTACCTTTCAGCGCATGCTTTACTCAACAGAGAAATTAAAGACAGCTGAACAAACAATCTGATGGACATTGCCATAATAGTAAATAGATTCAGGTGTAAAAAAAGGAAAATCATAAGTTTGAGCCCAATTGATCAAAAACTGGTGACCTCCCAGTAAAGATTTCATAGCACACCTGTTCTGAACCACTGCCTCAGAGTTCCAAAAACTCTGTGAGGGAAATGTATCAGATGAATGACAGCTAATAAATATACAACTTGTTTTTGATGATTTTGTTTATTGATAATTTCTGATCTTTTCTATCATTTTGGCAATCTATATCAACCATTATTACTACCTCCAGAGCTTCTATGACATCAATTTACACAAAGGCTCTAATAGTAATCATACTTCAACATCTCCTTCTTATTAGTCACCACAATTACTTTGGCTAAATCCAGGTGGCCAAGTGGAAAAGCCATTGAGGAACATGACTTTAGAAGGGAGATCATTCATTAGCCAAGGATGGGAGTTCCAGGGCTTCCCAAATAGAAATCCCACACAGGCTATCAGGCATCATTAACAAGAGTGAATAGTCTGTGTTACTTTGTAGCAACTATAGACTGAGCTCTGGAGCCTTAAGGACAGGGTCATTTCTCATAGCTACAAATTTCTCACATCAGGTTATCATTAAAGACATTGTAATGCCACTTGTTTATTGATTAGTTGATTAGCTCTAAGAAATCCAGTAAACAAGTTTTACTTCAAGCAACTTTCAGAAAATGGTGGGAAGAACATTTACATAACTGAGTTGTAAAATGCTATCATAGAATTTAATTCACCACTTGGAAATCTATGTTTTTTAAAGCCTATATCATTGAGATAAAATGCTACATATTCACATTATTCATATTATATAATTTTTACTATAGCAGAAAATACAATCATGTTTACAAACACAAACATGTTACCACATTCTAATTCAGATACATATGATCAAAATAAAAACTTGCTGAGTTAGCAAACTTATATTGTCTCAAGCAAATAGCTAAGATTAACTATGTATGTAGATTTTTGTTAAAACAGCTTAAAACACGCAAAGTCAGAGGCTAAACCAAGCAAAGAATAGGCGTAACATTGGTTCCAGCCAGTGTCTGTGCATTAATAAATTTCCTTGGGTTAATCTGGTTGCTCCTAAATAAGTTTCAGTATTCTTCTGAAGTTTTTAACTACATAAGGAATCTCTAACTTCACCAGCAGAAGTATGATGTCTTTAGGAAAATAGCAGTGTCTCTCTTCAGAAAATTCATTTCCACAAATACCAGATTTTAGCATCAGCTTAACGGTCACAAACACACAATTCCCAAACTACACCTCTAGTCTCCACAATTCAGAACTGAACTGAGTTTATGAGCCATGTTATTGTTTAAATCATACAAATAAAACCTACATTGTTTCAGTGAAGCTTTTTCTGTACAAATGCAGAACAGCCGGGGCTGAATAGATTCTATTAATAATGCAATATTGAGTTTGGTATTGACTTTAAGAAGTATTATCACCTCCTTGACTAACCCTTAGCTGCCAGCAGACGCTGCCTCAGGCCAGTACACACCTAATTGCTCGGTAAAAAGGCCGTTTCCCTACCTCATTGAGCCGCATGATGTGATAAATTTGCCTCAGGTACTCACTGCCACCTGGTTTGTGGCAGACATCCAGGACCATCATGTTTATTTTCTGCTCAGTCAGTTCAAGAGCAGTGTCTCCTTCTTCTAAGACTGTGCTTTTCTCCATTGTCATAAAGGCACTAAACACAAAGGAAGCACATACATATCAGTGGCGAAGAATCATAAAGATGGAAAATAATCAGAGAGATTGAGTGTGGAGAGTCGATGTAAATCTCATACTCAAAGCACCCATAAAGACTTCGCTCAAATAGTAAGCCTTCCCAAACTGCTGCTGCTCATAGAAACAGCGCCTCAGAATTAAGCACCTGAAAGCATTTTTTAAAATTGAATCGTTTCTTTTAAAACATTTCTTTATTGCATTTATACTCCTATCTATAAAACATTTTCCCATTACTGCAATTGTTGAAATTGCTACAATCACAGGATGAAAACAAAACATTTCTTTTTAAGAATGTGTAAGAAATAATTTGTATTTTCTCTTGGAGGATAAAAAGTATCTTTGATACCGGGAATAGCTCTGGTATTCTGTCTTTTGTAGATTCCTTTTACACCTGTCTTAGGATACATTAGAGACTAATTAATGTGTCAAAAGGGGGAGCCTATTATTCTAAATATGGGCTGAATGCTTGGTGGCAGTGTGCTTACCACTGGGTATTTTAAATTGGCCTTTGACCCTTGCTGCCTTTAAAAAATATAGGCCCCCTCTTCTGCTCCTTTTCTGTAACAGATACATAGCAAAGATCATTACTTTGATTATTCTTCCAGAAAAAGGGTTTACAATCATCACACTAAGAATGTTGAAAACAGTCCTGAAACGTTTTTTTTTTTTTTTTTGGAGAATGCATATATATATATATATTTATATATATATATATATACACATATATATATGCATATATATGTGTGTGTGTGTACATATATATACACACACATATGTACACACATATATATACACACATATATATGCTTGTCCTTCATTTTGAAAATTGTTTACATAATAACGGATAACAAAATATTTTAAACACCTCAAAGTATACTCATGTAAAAAATTATGATAGTCATCACACATGCTACATATTCCACACTAATTTTATTACAATTCCTATTGGATCATGTTAGGCTTTTCAGTCTAAGTGTTCTTAGGAAAACTCATGGTTTCTACTGTTTCTCAGGCTGAATGAAATTTATTGTGGTGTAATCAGCTGTGTACTGCAGTTCATTACTGAGATTTTGCCATGATTATAAAATTAGTTCTGCTAAGAGTCAGTGCCGTTGACCTGAAGACTGAACCAAATGATACCCAGCTGCTGGACATTAACTCTGATATTGCTTCCACATGTAGCTTCAAAATGTCCTCAAAAAAGAGGAAAGAAAGAAAAAGGAATTTCAAGATCCTATAAGTCTTAACCCCCCAAAAAGCAAATCCCACTCTGACTTAGCAATATTCATCAACTAGCATAAATCTCTTTTTTAAAAATGGCCTCTATGAGACATTTGCATGTATCTTTTTGAAGCTGCATGCAGGTTGCAAGCAAAATTTCTTGTTGGGTTTTGTAGAGGCTGACATTGAAAAAGTTGAGGTTCTCTGACAAAGGAGTATCTCAGTGTCAGCCCCTGAATTGTATCCTTTCCTGTCCATCACTGTGCAGGTGAAGCAAATGATTGGATTCAGTCAATGCTATGATTAATGAGTTCCTCTCTGGATTTGGGACTGCCTATCAATCATGTCATTAGGGAGAATGTGCCCTGAAAGAGGCAGACCTTAGCCAAGGAATAACTGCATTAATCTTAATCTGTATATGCACCCAGCCAGCCAAGTCAGGGTCACCATGATGAAAAACAATAATCTTCAACTCGACAAATTACTCTGCAAAGACAGACATTTCTTTAGTTTTGGGGCTGTGTGTTCTCCAGAATGTAAGTTGACTGTTTACAGCTTGAGAGTTACTACAAAGTGAAGGTTATTTTAATGAATAGTAATACTTTCAGGCAGTATGCAGGACAGGCAACATTTACAGTTGCCACCTATTTGACTGCAGTTATTCTCACCTTTACCATAACAAAATTCAAAGTTAAATCTGGATGCAAGTGCAAGAAATCTAGTTAATGATATCATGTAGGTTCCAAGATAATCTTCATGAGGAATTAAGATTTATAACAACAGAAGAACTATTTTGGTGTAAATGTTTATACACCCATATTTAAAAAAAATATGGCAACCCTTTACTTTATATAGTATCATGATTTGAAATGCATTTTTCTTAATAGTATAGATCTATTAACTTAATAATCATCAATTTATGAGACATTCTTAGAGTAGAAGTCCATCTGTATTTCGGATAACCAATTTAAAATTGAAGTCAAGAAGAAGGATCCTTATAGTGCCCAAACTCTGTATGAGATTAATATAAGTGAGTTAAATCAAATTTAACTTTTTAAAATACATGTAATAAGTAACTTTAAGTCTGCATTTTTATATATTGATAATTCAGAAACTGAGACATAGTATTGTACTAATTATTAGCTAATTATTCAGAATCTTTGTTGATTAAAATATTTTAAATCAGCAATTCTTTGTTTTTGATGAATGTTCTAAGAGATTGCTAAGCAATTTTTTGACTCATAACTAGTCAGCTAAATATTAGCTAGACAGCCTCACACTACAGGGGATACCAGATGTGTTGGTGTTGCTTATAAAACTTTAATTGAAATCAGCTTTTGCATGTAGTCCAGTTATATTACTTACACATGCTTTGAATAGATCTTATTTGATAGAGTGGCTTCTAAATCAGTAGTATCATAAATTTAACTTTTAAAATAAAATCCGATCTACAATTTTTACTCTTCTCTCTCTCTTTTATAATCACTGTATAATGACATCTGGCCTTAATCTTTTAGTCACTGGATTAAAGCCTGTGAATTGGTATTGAATACAAATATGAAGATTAAGAAGGTCACTGTCAATGTGACTAAGCATTTGCCTGACTGCTATTGTTACTTCCGCCCAGGGGACATCCAGAAGTAAATTTCTAGAAGTCAGTATGACAAGACCAGGAAAATCACGATTACCTACTTTTCACCATATGGATTAATATAAAGTCTTAAAGATTAACATAGACTAGCTAAGAGCATTAGTTATAGTACTAACCAGTGAATGCAAAATGTATTCTAATAGTTTATAAATAATAAGTGCTTACTAATTCTAAACTTGATGCTAAGAACTTTATGTTATTTAATTTTTCAAAACAATTCTGTCATCTTGGTTTCATTGTTAAAACCGAGGCTTTGAGAAATTCAGTAACTTGCACAAGCTGACCTATTTACAAGGGATTTGTATTTGTTCCTCTGATTCTAAAGCCTGAGCTCTTTACCACTACCATCTACTAGTAACAGTAATATTTCAAGTGGCTTTTAGTCTTTTCAGGCGGAAAGTTATTCTAATATCTGCTAGCAACATGAATATACTTTAACAGAATGGGGACAGTGTATGTGGATGTTTAAAAAAAGGGCTAACTTAGTGATCTGTAGACCATCTGAGCCGGAATTCCTTTATCAGTATCATGCAACTCTATACCAAAAGACTAATTTTAAAACAGGAAAGCTCTATGTACATATTTAAATTCATCAGGGACCCTTAAAACTCTTTGCAATACCACAAATCACTTAGCTCTTGGTGACAAACCTATGAGAAGGCTGACATTTTCATACTGGAACAGCTGGGTGTGTTTATAGCTTGAGTGTGATATGCCCTACTTGCCCTCTGGGATTCTTATATTACCAGATGAAAAATGTGTACCTTTTTGACAATCAGGTACACAGAAAGCAATAAAAAGGCTTTCATATCCATTAATTCCTTCTTAATTTAATCTCTGTGCCCACTCCACTTACAAAACACTTCATATCCACTAGATACCTGTTTATACACTGAAAAGGAATGAAATTAAATTCTTCTGGGTGTAACTTCCACCCTTTTAATCGGAAACCTTTAGATGGTGACTCAACAAGTATAGTGTTCTTGTGTATCAATGGGATTCAAATTTTAAGAAGACAAGGAACCCTTAACAGTAGTGTTTAGTGGGATACTTATCTTTTCCTATCCTCATCAAAGTTCCCATGAATTTAGCCAAATGACCAATGCTGCCCATCTGATAAGATTTTGTTGTGGTTGTGTTCTGGTAATTTTGTTATTGTGAAAGTATGTGATGAATTCAGTGAGAGAAAAACATTGCCTTACCATTCAGTGCTCAGTTTCCTTGCTTTCAACAACTGGTGTTCAATCCATTTGGGCTTTTGTTGCTCAATGCTTTGTATGACTTTTTGGGTCATTTGATTAGGGCTACTTTGCTCTCCTATGATGCTACCCAAACACACACAAATTAAACCCAGTTTCTCTTTACTCCATCTGTCAAGGGAGGCACCTGTTAAAAGTTCTACTGCGTTTCCATCTTTAAATATGCGACGTATAAGTACAATCAAGTTCCAGACAAGCAGGCCAGCTATCTTCAATTCAACAAAGTTTTTTGACATTTTCCTCTCAGACAGAAAAAAGAAGTATTTAATTGGGGGAGGCAAACATGCAATCACCGTAGGTAACTTGCTGATTACAATAGATACTGCCTGAGCAGCAAGCCTTGTGAAGCCTGGGGAAGAAAAGACAGAAAAGGTATGATTAATATTAGCATTTGCGTTCCATCACTGCATGGTTTTGTGTTGTGTGGGGATGTCTAATTTTCATGGAGAAAATTGTTGAGAAGAGCAAGTGCTTGACATATTCCGACAGAACTCTACTGGGATCTCCTGCAGCATTACCTAAAGTCCCCCAAATCCCAAACTTGCCTTTTCTGTTTCCTTCCATAAATGAAGATTAGAAATTTCAGAATTATAACTTCTATTTTATCTTTTAAGACTGCTGCAGCTTTGAGGACCCTAGATGTCCTCCCTTAATTAACAAATGCAAATGCATTCCTGCTGGACCTCAGTAGCCTTTGATACTTCTGAGTCTCCTGTAAGAATTTCTCCTCCTCCCTGGGGAACTTTGAATCATCCCTGCTCTTTTCAGGACTGGCTCCTCTTCTCTTCATTCTTAGCCTAAATGTCACCCTCTCAGTTGAACTTGCTTCAAATCCCATTCAAAGCAGTCCCTTCTTACTCTTCCTTGCTATCATGGGACCCTGTTGTGTTGTCTTTTTTATAATTACCTGTTATAATTATATCCTTTACCTATTCATTATCTGTCACTCTTCACTAGAATATAAGCTCCAGAAGGTCATTACTGTATGCCTAGCACATAGTACCTCATTTTTAAGTTATTCAATATTGGTTGAATATTGAACCAATAAACTCGTTTTTATTTACCTCTACTATTTTTCTTTGCTTCTTTGTGTCCCATGCCAGTTACACTTTCTACCAACACCTCTTAAATGTGGGTATTTTCTGAGCAGTCCTTAACCTCTGGCTGGTGATTCTATGTGTTCTCCTTTGCTTGGTGCTACTTCTCTGAAGGATATATTGATATTTCTTTAGATTGACATTTCTCTGTCTGCACAATTGCCATTCAGGGCTGGATAAGTTTTTGTTGGGATGAGGTGCCCTATGAGGCATGTTTAGCAGCATTTCTGCCTGGCTTCTACCCCTAAAGGCCAGTAACATTCCCCTCAATTGTGACAACCAAAACTGCTCCAGGCACTGCCAGATGTCCTCTGGGAGCAAAATCACCCTGAGTTGAGAACCATTCTTGATTGCAATCCTATAGCTCCAGCTCCTTTTTGGGCATTGCATTTCTCTTTCTGAGTCACCAATAATTCAATATAATCATTATTGTCTTCCTTCCAAATTACTTGGCCCTCCTCTTCTCTCCCTCCCTTCCTCCCTCCCTTTCTTCTTTCCTTCCTGTTGATACTTCATACAAAACCAGTGACCACCATTGGTAAATCTTCCTACCCTGTTGTCTCTGAAATCCTCTTTATCTTTGCTGAGACCAACCTCGCCCTACTTCAAGCTCTTCCTCACAAATGGCACCTGGATAATGAACATACTCTCCTGACTTATCTCCATATTCCAGGCTATGTCCGGCCCCTCCTCTGCACTGTAAATCCAAATTCATCCACAGTAGTGGTGAGAAACTGATGTGACTCCATTTTTGAGAAACCAGCCTCTACCTCAGAGCAAAGCCTGTCCAAGAAAGGGGACATGACCCTTGTCCTTGGAAAAACCAACAGAGCACTCCTTGGCAGATAGCCACCCTGCTGAGTTGTCTGTAAATAATGGGAGAGATCTGTGGCACCAGGTGTCCCTAACTCAGTTAGGCTAGGTGAGGACCCATAGCAACCCCCTAGCAACGACCAATCAGCATGAGACAGGGAAAATACCTGGGATGCCCCATGACCCCCCAGTAGTCTATGGTGGTTGATAACATGTTGGGAAACCATGTAGTTTAGCACATACACCCCTCGTGGCTTAAACCAATCAATTCAAAGGAAACCCCCTCTTGTACTAACCAATCACCCCTACCCAACTTGTTCCCACCAGTGAATGTGCTAATCAATGTTAAGAGTTGTTGTTTGATTTTCCTGCAGTGTGAAATGATTTGCTGTGTGATGTTGTGACGCATTGAGTATCCCCCCAAAACCTATAAATCCTCACTGAACAGAGGACAGGGACTCACTCCCTGGGACCGCTGCATCAGAAACGGTTGTGAGTCCAGGCTCGAGCTTGTAATAAAGACTCTTGTGTGCTTGCACTGGATTCAGCTCCTGGATGTCTATTGGGGTCCCATGAATCTGGCAGTACACTGGATTCATATACAATTCAATTTTTATGATCCAATTTCTCTGCTACAATTGTTTTAGCTATTTTCCACTGGTGAGCAAGATAAGACTTCAAAGCTTGATTTTCAAAATGCTTCATAGCCCAGTGTCATACTGTTTCTACCAACTTTCTCTTTGAGACCTTCTATACACTTTACCTCTGCTTCAGGGTTGTGAATATCTATCATTCTCAATGGAATAAATACCCCCTTTCTTCATGGTTCACCTACCTGTATACTTAAATTCTTTGAAGTCCTATACCCTTTAATAAATTTATTTGAATATAATATCCATATGTCCATATGTCATATGGACAGTCATATGGATATTGGTAGTCAGCTCCAATAATGCACCATGCTGCATCATCTTTTGTATTATTATCTCTATTATTTATGTCATGTTGTTATTTAGGTCTTTGTGAGTTGTCTTACATCTGTATTAAAAGTTGCTGAAGAGCACAGGAGAAATCTCCCCAAGGCTTCCACAGAGCTGCCAGTGCACTTCCCAAGAGTGTGAAAGCACCTCCTTCAGTGCCTGTAGAAAAGAGTTCCTCAATAAGTGTATTCTTTTTATGCAAATGAATGTTTCAATGGATCTTAAAATATAGATAAAAGCAAAATCAAAAACTTCCTTGTGACCTCTCTTCTTTGTGTTGTTAAATTATTTTAAATGTCTTATTATTGTTCTTTATGTGTTTGTATTCCATACTCCCTATTCTACTGTCAGTTATTTGACTTCAAACATTGCATCTTATATTCCTCTATTCTAAAGAGGGTGTAAGCACAGGCACTGAGCAAACATTTAAATATCTAAGTAGATACCAGGTAAAGATTACCAACTCTGTTTACACCGAGACTTCTGCTATTTTATAAACTCTGTGGGCTCCAGGTACTCAAATACCCAAACACATCATTAAAGCTTAAGGCAAATTCTGATCAGAACCTTCAAGCTGATGATAAATGAATAAATCTATTCTGCTAATCACAAGGGCTCTGAATCTATGATGAGGTTAACAATATACCAGAGAGGAATCTTTTAACACTATCTCACACTCATTTTTATGTCTTTATTTAAATAAGTTGACTTCTTCCTAATTCATTTATATGTAAAATATTAGAAACTATGCCAATTTTATAATTCTCAAAGTATGAAAAAATGTGTATCTTGTAATGAACCCAATATGGTTGGTACATTTATGAATTTATCATTTCTTCCTTCTTACACATGAACTACTGTAATATATTTGGGGATTATAAAACATGTGAGGAAGATATTCACAACAAATGAAGTAAAGACAAAATAAGGTCTTTAAATTAATTATTAAAATATCATCTATTAATTGTACAAAATAACAATTTTTAGATGATGATAATGTGATTTAATATGCTTTTATGTTTAAAATCTGGGATTAGTACAAAGGTCAGGTTCTCAGTTCAGTTTGTTTCTGTACATTGTTTTAGTGACTGTCATAGTTGAAAAAACTACTACCACTAACATATACATATGTATCTCCACATGGAGCATGGAGCAGGTATATTATTAGCTGTGCTTACAAAAGCATGAAGTTTGTTTTTCAGCCTTAAAAAGCAATCAGGCAAAGCTGTTGTTGAAATCTGAATAATTAGTATCCATTGACTATAATATTAATTATTTATTCTTACAAATTGAAAATATATTTCATTTGTGTGTGTGTGTGTGTGTGTGTTTGGTACTGGGGAATGAACTCAGGGGTTATTTACCACTGAGCTGAACCCCAGTTTTGTTTTGTTTCTTTTTCTTTTTGAGACAGCTCTACCTGTCATTGAGGCGGACCTTGAACTTGTGATCCTCCTGCCTCAGACTCCCTAGACACTAGCATTATAGTTGTGCACCACTGTGCCTGGCTCATTTGTATATTTTTAAGAAAATGGTTCAAGGATTATAGAAACTCTTCATTCGAAGTATTTTTAAACACATTAGAAAATTCTATGTCTAAGTTCTTAAGTATATAGATATGATATTTTTATAAGTGATGTTGGTTTTCACAAAACTAGTATAATCTCTAGTTTTTACAAAATAAACTAAATTGCTGACTTCCTATAGCATTCTACATATTTCTTTCACCAATATCCTTCTAAACACTGCATGAGGTCAGTGACATGGATGCATGTCCCTTATGGTACTTCCTCTGCTTCCACTCTCCAGAATCCACTATTTCCATTGAAGCAATTGCTCCAATGATTTTACCATAATGCATTTTTTTTAATTTTAAAAAATTAATTTACTGTTGAGAAAATTTCTTTATAGGTACATCTTTCTTTTAATTTTTGTCAAAGAAGCAAAACAAAAACAAAACCAGTTCTTCGTGTATTCATTCTTTTGAAATACAAGGAACCAAAGACTTAAAAGCTGAGCTACGTCAGAACAATCTGAATCTTCATCCAACTGTATGGTAAAGCTCCCCTGTATGATTTACATTTGTTTCTTTAAATCTTCAGTGTTGCTATGTAATGATATTTGCTGACAAAGAAATAAAGGAATGTCTTTTAGTTTGTCATCATACTGTTTACCATGCTCTGTCATTTTCACTATGTCAAGGACAAATGTTCCCTTAAGGTAGTGGCTACTTGTCTTTCAATAGGTTTGAATTCTCACAAGAAATGTCTTAAGACATTTATCATTGTTTACACAAATTTTGTGAAGAACATGATTATAACTTGACTTAAAACACTGTTGAAGAAATTACAGAGGTTTATCTTCAGGTTTCAGATGCTTGGTTTTGAAATCATTTTGCTAATCAAGACAACTTCAAACTATCTTTAGCTAATAGCTCAAGGCACAACACTCACTTAAAAAGGATTCACATTTCACAATAATGGATGGGAAGCCATATTTCAAATCATTTTCCTACAGGTTTCTTTCTTTCTATTTAAATTTTTTTATCTTTTTTGCCAAATTTGATTAGATCCTTATTGTTTTACTTTATGATATGACTGAGAGCTCATATTCGAAATCAAAATACATGTGAGACTTTTATCTGTGTCACTTTGTGCTCTTCACTGCCTTCCCAGTATTAAGCTATAATTGATTTGTCGATTTTCAGGAATATGTTAAGATCTCTTGAGTATTGCAAGGATTAATTTTGTTAATACCAGATTCTACAAAGCCAAGGTGTGTACACAGAAGGCTAAAGAAGAAATAAGGTTTCCCTGCCTATTACTTCTCCTTAATATTGTGCTCCTGCCCACTTGAGCCTCCTCACCTATTGTCCCTAACATATAAGTTGTTCGCCCAGACTGAAGAGGGGTTCCAGTGACAATCTCCAAGTGACACTTTAGCAAACTTTTAATCTTTTCTTCCCATACACAAAAAAACACCCCGGAGGTGTTTGCATCTGTTCTGAAATAGTTATACTAGTCTCCAAGGACCAAGAGAAGATATTACATATATAGCTTATCTCTGACTATAAATACAGAGCCTCATATATATTTATGAGTCACCTATTGAATGAATAGATGACTTAATGTCCAGCATATAAATAATCTCTGTCTTTTACAGTTGTCCCCTAACTCTTATCCAAGGGAGATACATTCCAAGACCTCCAGCGGATGGCTAAAACACATACGCTATGTTTTTTGCCATATATATATATATATATATATATATATATATATATATATATTATAATAAATTTAATTTATAAATTAGGCACAGTAAGAAATTAATAATAGCTAATAATAAAATAGAACAATTATAATGATACTATAATAAAAATTATGTGAGTGTGAATTCTCTCCTGTGAAATTTAAAATAAATGATAATATTTTGGGCTTACTCTCAACCACAGAAGTGTGGATTAGCAATGAAAATAAAGGAATAAAGCAAAAAAGTGTGGATAAGGAGTGAATATAAAGGTTGAGCAGGGCTAATCTAAGAGTTTCTGTACTTAGAGGACAGAAATGAAGATCAATGGTGTTCCCCTAGTGTCATATCCACTTAGAATGCAAAATATGGTTCATAAAGTCACTTTCTTTTATGTATTCATGAGATCCAGCACCTCTTTGTGACTGGCTATATATTGTACTTCTAGTGATAATTTTATGAAAAATGTTATTGAGTAAGGCAGACCCTAATAACTGGTATCTATGTAAAATAAGCATTTTGGGAACAAGAAACTCTTTAAAACAGTACACAGATATTCTAAAATGCTTCTTAGAAACCAAAATATTTCACAAACAGAAAGCCACAAGCAAAAACAGTGCCACTCATATGGCATGGCACATTAACTATAGATCATGCCCCTGCTTTATTCAAAATGTATGAAATATCCAAAGCTAGAATGAAGGAGAGATGGCAACAACTCTTAGGCAAGGAAGAACTTAAGTAATGAAAAGGTGACATTTTCCAATTTCAATTAAATGGCTTTACTAGATTCAAAGGCAGTTTAATAGGGCTTGGGCAGAATTAAAGCATTACTATGAAAGGTCACAGATAGATAATTGATTGAGTTTGTAATATAAGGTCGCTGAATAAGAGCTACATTACTTAGGATCTCATGGAGGAGAATCAAAGAAAGACCAGTCCCTTCAATTGACTTTTGTGGGTTCTCCTGAAGTATTGATGAAAGTTTCCTTAGAGATGGTAAAAAAATATTCTCTTAGAGATGAATATGAAAGGAAAAAGTATTGTAGAAAACCAAAAGAAGATTCACAAATACTAATATTTAATATACTTTCAAGGGAATTTTGTGAAAATTCTGGAAATTTTCCTACATGTAGACAGGAAGAAAACATTTAAGAGAGAACTTAGTTAATAAAATAAATAAATAATGTAAACTGATGGTTCTTAAATGTAGTTGGTGGATGCATTGTTCTGAACAGAAACAAAGTCTCAATTCAGAACTACAGGGACTGGGGGAAAATGCCCTGTCAGAAAATATATGTAGTTACCAAACTCAATGCTATTTTTTACCTAAAAGCTATGCATGTAGGAGTGTTAACAAGAAGAAAAAGTAATAATTGGTGGTTTCAGGGGAAAAATTTAAAAGGAAGAATAATTAAACTGAATATCAGAGTAGTTTTCCTGAAAGTACAAATTCTAGATTACTCAATAGATTTAGAGAAATTTAGTCCACAACATGTGACTAATCTGTGAATACTAATACAAAAACAAAATATCACAGAAAATTTTGAACTGTTAAAAAAAGATGACCAGTTGAGTCATTTGCATCTCTAGTGTCCTTGTTCCAGTTTTCCCAGATATACTTGGAGGAAGAAAGATTAATATGGTTTATCAGTCTTATAGTTTTAGACTTTTACTTAACTAAATATCCTGGAATATTGCTTTTTTAGGGGATATTTTCTAGGAAAACAAGTATACTTACCTTTGCTTGAATCTTTTTTTTTGGTTTCCTTTGGAGTATAACTCCATTCTTTTGGAATGCTCTCAAGCAAACCATCAGGAACACTGTGCTTGCTTAGGTTTGTTTCACAGTTTTTCTCACAGTTCATCATAGATATCACCTTTTGGACAATGTCCTTGACAGCGTCAGTCAGTGCCAACCTCAAGCATCGAATGACCTCTGGCTCAGACTCCATGCACACTGAGGCTTTAAAATCAGAAGGCATGTTATGGTTAGCAGAATCAGGCAATCGGTTGTACCTCATTCAACTGGGAATACTGTTTCATAATAATCTAGTTTAAACATAAAGGGAAAGAGAGGAAATTTTACCCAAAAAATCATATAATTGATAATCATCTCATAAAACATTTGAAACTTCTTCCTGATAATAAATGAAAATTAAAATAATAGTAAATAACAATATCTACTGGTAGTTTTGGATACTGCTGGTAGAATATAAATGGCATGACCTTCTTAGATTACAACTTGGCAAATAATATCAAAAGCCTTAACATTTTATTTACCTGGTGACTACTTATTTTTCCTTTCTGTAGCACTTTATCCTAAGAAATTAATTAAGAATATACAAAGGATACGATAAAAGACTAAAAACTATCCAATGTACAATAATGTTTGAGTTGTTCAATTAGGTCCATATATAGTACAGATATTTATCTGTACTATAAGGACATATGTTGTGTATTTAAAAAATAAAAGTAGGTTAGAAAATGACATTCTATTTTTGTTTAAAAATACATACAATAATTAAAAGATGTACTCTTTTAAGTCAATGATAATTTTCAACAACTGATGGAATTTCACATCATTTTTTTTCTTTCTTTCCTCTCTACTTTTTTTTTCCTTCTTTCTTTTCTCCTTTCTTACTTCTCCCCTGCTCTCCTGCTTTCCCACCATCTTTATATGTATTACCCATGATGTACATACAGGACTTATGTGATATATTTCATAAAAAAGTTTTGTTTGTTTGGTTTTCAATATGACTGAAAGTCCTGAGACTAATACTTGAACCAATATAGAAAAACTACTGCATGCTTTCTCCGACCTCAAGTTCCCCAGTGATTTTTATCAAATGACTGGTTTGTTTAAGAATAACTTTTTAACAGAAGCTCCATGGTGAAGATCTTGGTAATAGCCAGTACTGAGAGGTTAATTTTTAAACATAATACTTCCAACAGATGACGAGCTATTGTTCTTTATGGAAATAGTGGAGGATATAATTCACTGTTTTTTTTAATATTCATTTTTTAGTTTTAGGTGGACACAATATTTTTATTTTATTTTTATGTGGTGCTAAGGATCAAACCCAGTGCCCCATGCTAGGCAAGCACTCTACCACTGAGCCACAATCCCAGCCCAAATTCACTGTCTTTTTGATGATGTTTCAAAACTTGAATTCTTTGAAAGGCATAAAGAAGCCTTTTTCCTGTATCAATAATTCATATGCATTTTGGTTAAACTCTTTGGAGCTATGAATTAAATATTTTTTGTTCTCTGAAAATTCAAAGAAGACAGACAATCTCTATTTCTTTTTGTTAAAAGACATATTTATTCCTTTTAAAATAAAATCAAAATATTGAAAATTGTAGAGAATATAATATACGTATCCCAAATAGTTACTTAAAAATTAAATGAATTAATTTATTCAAAGTGTTTGGAAGAGTAATTGGCACATAGTATGTACTATGTAAGTATTAGCTATTATTAATACCTAAGATAAAAGTTGTTTTATTTTTAATTGCAATGTTAGAGTGTAGGCTGATATTCATTTAATATGAGGTCCTTAGACATCTTGTGAACTAGATAATATTTGGAGGATTAAGCAATATCCACCAGGGGCTATAGCAGGGATAAGAAACAGATGTAAAAGGAAGAAAAAAAGAAATGGCAAGCAAACAGGGAAAAAAAGTAAGTGAGGGCACATGTGGTCAAGTTATGCAGTGTCATAGTCTTTCTAAGAGTTTCTTCACCAAATGTTAAAGAGGGTGCCTAGGTTTCAAAGACACATAGCTTAGAGAGAATACAATAATTGCCCCAAAGTCTAGTTTCTGTAAGTCCAAAATATTAATTATTGATTATCAGCAACAAAAGAGAAGAGCAAAAGAAAGTATCATCCAAAATAATAATTTTTCACTGATTTTTTTCTGCTGTATATAAATTTTAGTGTTTCATATTAAATTAACTAAAATGAACAAAGAAACAGAAAATTTCAGATGATTCATATAACTTTAAGAATTCATGCATCACCATCTGATTTTCTAATATTTCAAATCAACATTAAAAATATGGAAAGTTTATTTAATCTAGAAGGGCTCCAGTGTCCTCATCTATAGAATGATGAGAAGGGAAGACAGAGGGTGGATAAGATGATGTTTATAGTCTTTCTTGGTTTTTACTTTTTATGATTCTATTTAAGACTCCCAAAAAGAAAATAACAAGTATTTCACAGCCAAGTACATACAAATCAATAAGAGCTGTGACTACCATTTTCTTTCACAGAACAGTAATCAGGAATCCTTAGAAGGAGGATGAATGATGGTCCTAACTCAAAAACAAGCTAAGGTCACCAGCAGCAATTCTGACATAAACCAGTTTACGTAAATTTACCTTTTGGTTAAGATACTAAGTTTATCAATTTTCATCAGTACAAGCTTCTAAAATTTGTTAATGACCAATAAATTCCATTTATTTAAAAATTTCTATAACTTTGAACAACTAGAACAAAGTTATTTAGTGGAGTTTTTCAGGCTACCTGTAAGGAAGATGTTACATGCAATAAAGAACAATCTAATTTGGTTTTATAAAAGCAATGGAAATTACATCTGAATGTGTTTCTAAGTAAAAAGTTTTGGTATAAAAAAGTATTCTACTAAGATATTGACTAATCAGGCACCATTAGAAATAAGGTTTTCTGATAAAAAAAGCATGATTGAAAATATTTTGAAAGTATATTAATAGACTTTCTTGACACAGAAAATTAAAGTTTTCTTTGATACTTCAAGATTTTAGATGATAAAAATAAAAAATAAATAAATCTGAACAGAATTAGGGTCTCAGTTTTGTATATAAGAATACTGGGAACCAGATAGTAAGTGATGAACCATCTGATAAGTAGAAAGGCAAGTATATAGTACGCTTCTCCCCAGCAATAGACCTTGTTAAGAAAATGAAAAAGTGAGCCATAGCTTGGCAGGAAATGCACCAGTAAATGTAGCTGATACAGAACTTGTATCCAAAATATATAAAGTACTCTTTCCAACTCAGTATGACAAACAACTCAATAAGTAAATGGACAAAAGTTTTGAACTGATGTTTTAGAAAATAATATTTTCAAATGGCCATTAAGAATACAAAGAGGTACCACATGTCATAAATCATGAGGAACATGTAAATTAAGACTCAGGAGATAATATTACATTACCTTTAGAATGACCAAAATCAAAAAGACAATTCAAGTGTCAACCAGGATATGGAATGAAAAAAATTCTTGTACATTATTGGGAGGAATGTGAAAAAGATTACTTTGTAAAGCAGGTAGTAGTTTCTCATGCAGTTAAGCATGTATTTTATCATATGGTCCAGTATTTACAATGGAAAATGAAAATTCATACAAGGACTTGTACACTAGCGTTTACTTATTTATTATAATCCAAAACTAGAAACAATCCACATGTCTATCAAACTGGCAAATAGATAAAATAGAAAACACTATTCAATAAAATACTACTCAGTGCATACTTACCCACAATGAGAAGAAATAAACTATTAATAAAGCATAACGTAAGCAAAATAAGCCAGATGCAAAAGAATACCTAGACTTCTGTTTATATGATGTTTGAGAGTGATGTAAAGTAAACTATTATGATACGAAGTGCATCAGTATCTTCATGGAGTTGGCAGTTGAAAGAAGAATTAGCTACAAAAAAGAATGAAAGGACTCTTGCAAATGATGGAAACACTCTTTATTGTCACACAGGTTTACATATTGGTCATGTTTATTGAACTCCTCTATGGGGGACCACCTCTGAGCTATTTGCATAGCCTCTACTCAGCCTTGAAGTCAAGGAGATTTTGGTCTGGCATTGCAAGTCATTTTGTGGTTTATTACACAAAGCATGTGACCTCAGTCTTTGCTGGGGCAAAGAGGCTACTCTGTAGCTCCAGAGTTGGGCATTATCCATTGGGCTTGGACAGCCCACCCCTGCCTTATTTGGTGAAGAATATTCTATGGAAAAGCCTTTGTGTATCTCCCATATAAAAATAAAAATGCGGGCTCACTCTTTCTCTCCTTCTAGTGTGGAAGCAGGACCCTTAAGTTTGCAGAGCCAACCTGCCTTCGATCTCGAAATTATTTCTGTGTCTTGTGATTTGTATTTTGCAGCCAGCTCACTACATGTAGGAGAACACAGCATATCTTTCCTGTGCGGGCAGTGGGTGAGACTACTCACTTGAAATAAGTGAACTTTATTGTATGTAAATTATGCTACAATAAAGTATTTTTAAGTTTTAAAAAAATGATTAAAAATAGAGACAGTTGGAAGGATATCCAAATAAAAGGCTCAGGATAAATAGCTATAATGTAGAACAAAGACAGACTTCCAATTTTTGAAAGCTAATTTACATCTACCCACACTACAATGAAGCTATTTTGTAGGTGAATGAGAAAATCACTCTGTCTGATATGAAGACAAACCACTGTAAACTAATTTCATCAACAAAAAAACTATTTAGCATTGTACATGCATTCTAAAAAGCTCTTCTTTCTATAATATTTTTAATTTGTTCTTATTAGCTATACATGACAGTAGAATGAATTTTGACATTATATGTATGTGGAATAGAACTTCCCATTCTCCTGGTTGTCCATGATGAGGAATTACATTAGTCATTTATTCATATATGCATATAGGAAAATAATGTCTGATTCATCGTCTATCTTTCCTATTCCCATCCCCCCTTCCTTCCTTTCATTCTCCTTTGTCTAATCCAAAGTACTTCTCTTTTTCCCTATCTGCTCCCCAGCCATTGTGAGTTAGCATCCACATACCAGACAGAACATTTGGCCAGCCATTAGTTTTTTAAATTGGCTTATTTCACATAGCATGATAGGTTCCAGATCCATCCATTTACTTGAAAATGTCATAAAGTCATTCTTCTTTATGGATGAGTAATATTCCATTGCATGCACATGCAACACACACACACACACACACACACACACACATATCACATTTTCTTTACCCATTCATCAGTTGAAGGGCACCTAGGTTTGTTCCATAGCTTAGTTATTGTGAATTGGGCTGCTATTAAACATTGATGTGGCTGTGTCACTTTACTATGCTGATTTTAAGTCCTTTGGGTATAAACCAAGGAGTGGGATAGCTGGGTCAAATGGTGGTTCCATTCTAAGGTTTCTGAGGAATTTCCATACTGCTTTCCAGAACAGTTGCTTCCTGAGGCTTAGAAAGTTGAGCAGAAAACCCAGGTGAATGCTTTGTATCTCAAAATTTAATTGGGAAATTTTGCTAAGTTGTTGAAAATTTTCCTTTCAGAGCCTGGGAGAGAGCTAAGACAATTGATTCAGATATGAAACTAAGGGCAATGTCATACTGAGAGCCAAGGAAACAATACCTGTTGGGTATATTACTATAATTTAATATGCAGCATTTAAAAATAGATTCCTCATTTTCAAGCCTGTTTTGGCATTGTTTTAAAAACCACCTGAGGAAATTTATGCATTGGTAATTTCATTTGCCCAACTGAAAATTACTTTATCTGCTTTAAAGAGATAGCTTATAATGATTTCCACCAAAATTATTTCTTTTAGAGTACATTAGCCTTCTGAATGTCCACATTAGGTCTTTAGTTTAATTATTTTCTGTATTTGTCTCTTTTATAATCTTTTTCAATGGGTAAAATCATTTTTGTTGTCTCCCCTTAGCTCATGTCCATTCTAAGGAGTTATGTGTGGGATTTCTAATTATAAAATCAGATTGTATATTTCATTAGTGAACTCATATGTTCACTAAGTAAATCTTTCAAAAATTTAATCTCCTAGAAAACAGTAAAGAGAAATTGCCAATGTGTCTGGAGTTCTGTGGGTTTTTTTTTTTGTTGTTGTTGTTGTTGTTGTTGTTTGTTTGTTTTTGCTTTGATTCTGTCCCACTTAACAGTAGACAATCTTAGATAAATCTCTTAACACTCCTAACCTTGGTTTATTCAATAATAAGGATACTGGTTACTTCATCTTTGTTTTTCCACCCTAAAATAGTAAGGATGACATTTTAGGGTAATCTATAGTGAAATTTTTGACAGTGTTTCAGCAAGAAGAAAATATACCTTCATTGGCTTTTTAATAATGTACTGCAATTAATCTGGGTAGATAAATTATATTTACTGAAGCTTGGATGCATTTCTGGTAATAGGTAGATATTGTGGGGTTATGATTGTATCTCTGCTATATTTACTTTTAACATGTTATATTTTCAAGTTAAACAGAAGTCACAGTGTAAGGCTCAATTTCATTATGGATTAATACATTATATTATTTTATTAGCATTTTTAAAATAACCATGATCAACAACAGAAAGGGAATTTGTTATAAACTTTTAGTAGAGAAAAGACAAAAGTACAGACAGACCCTCATGACCATTGTAGTTCTCAGGTTCCAGATAATATTCAACAGCCAGAGAATATTTTTTAATGTTTGTGGAGAAAGGGCATGTTACCAATTTTATATTCTTCCTATACAACTGAGTCTCCCCATACAATTAAGGCTCTTGAATCTAGTAACATCGGTTTCCAAAGACTTGTCTGACTTCCTAGAGTAAAGAGTCCTCAATGTGTAGATGAAGAGAATACACATTAAGAGCTAGTAACATTTTAAAAACTTTTCTCTTGCCAACACCTCAAGTCCACTGAGGCCATCTAGGTCATTTTCAGACAGTTTTGTGCTGAATGTCAAAAGTGGTCCAAGAACTTAGCAGTGGAAGAATAAATAGTGGTTGGAACATGAGGGTCACTTCATAATCTTGTTAAATTCTTCATAGCTGTAACTTTCTCAGAACAACTAAAAAATGGCAGAGGGTGGTGGGGCTTCCAAGGTGAGTTTTCTTTTATTTCAATAATTACCACATCAGAAGCACAACCTTCTAATTCAATCTTTCTACCTAGAAGCTAGCACTACCTTTGGGTAAAGAGGATGCAGTGAGGCAATGCACAGAAACTAGAAGATAAAACTTTGAAAGAAGATAATTGTTACAGAATCTTTAAGTGATAGATTCAGATTTTTGAAACCATTACATAAAGTTGTCTGTTGCTGTTTTGCAGGGATAGTGACTGACCAAAAGAAGATGAAACACAATGACCTTTAAAGAGCTAAAGTGATATTCAAGTAATAGCTGGAGGACAGTCAGAAAGTCCGGAAAGAATGATTTTGAGTCAGTTCAATCTTTTTTTTATAGAGCCTAGGGATTATTTTTATGAAAATGTTGGCTCCAAAGCAGCGTAAAAGAGAGCTAATGGGTTGAAATCCAAATGTAAATGACATAACTGGAATAACAGGATAATCACAACAACCACTACCTAAGTTTTCATCTTTTGTTTTCCCAAGATATTAAATTTGGAAAATTTAAAGGCAGAATATTAAGGAAGAAACAATAAACACCTCCTATTCAGATATACAACTTGTCCTCTCTTTAACATCCTCTCTAGCTGAAGGCAGAAGAACAATGGGGAAAACATATGGCCCCAAAGAAATCACAGAACATGCTTGCCTTGAACAGAAATGCACTATGGTCACAATAATAAATCCCCTCTATAGTTGAAAAAAATAACCAATAGTCTCATTCATCATTTTGTTGAGTAAATGTACCCAAAGAATCACAATATTTTTATATCTTACTATGTCTTATATGCTCACCAGCAAAACATAATCTCTGGTAAATACAAAACTAACTTTTTATAGTAAAGCACTTCCTCAAAATAAAAAAAAATCTGCATTACATAATTTTTACCCTCAACCAACCTCTTTTTATCTTCAAATATATTAAATTTGACAGGAACTAATGGCTTAATGGTTTTCCAATAGAGGCCTTTATGCTGGAAAAAAAATGTAAGGTAAACTTTTACAAACAAAAACAGCAAAACCAAATTAATAAAATTTAAAAATATCTTTAAAGGCATTTTAAGTATCTATAAAGTACTTCTTTTATAAATAGTAAATTTCTCATACCTGGGATGTAATTTAAAAAGTCCCATAATTGTTCTTCTTCCATGTAGTTCACAAAAACATTTCCAAAAGTTTTTGGAGAAAAATTGCAGTGGTACAGCACTTTAAAGATGGCTTCTGACAAGCTAAATCCTTGGTTCAGATTATTTTCTGTATCAGAAACTTGGTCTTGAAAGGTACGTGCTAGAAAAGAATAAAAACAATGTAGTAAGGTAGGCATCAGTGAACGTGATTAAATTCTTATCAGTCCAGCATAATGCTATGAATTGTATTTGTTAATATTTGCATAACAGAAATACCACATTCTTTCAAATCAATGGTCCAGCTAACCCAATGAATGTTTACCAAACACATTGACCCTGTCATTTCAAAATGGAGAAGTTTTTCGATTGGCTCTTCAATAAAACCACATATGGAACTCTGCGAAAATGGGGCCATTTAAAAAAATTATTCTAATTAGTCATATGTAACAACAGAATGCAATTTAAAAATGGTGCCATTTTAATTGCTTTTTTATTTTTTTTTCTATTTTATTTCTATACTTTATCTTTTTTTTTTTTAATTTTTTATTGTTGGCTGTTCAATTAATTGCTTTTTTCAACTCTCTTCTTGCTCCATTATGGCTTCCTCAAAGATCAGTAATCAGAAATTTCTGTACTATTGCATCTAGGGGATGGATGGAAAGTTGAAATAACAATTTCTATTTTGTTTGGATAAGCAGCATCATAATGAGCAAAAATACTTATTGAATAATGATAATGTCAGCTTATATCTTGTATAAATGTAATCTAAAGTCTTTTGGAGTGAGTACATTTCTTTATTTTGGCTCATTTGGAAGCTAATAAATTTTATGTTTCCTCTCAATTTTATTTCTGGGATTTGATTTTAATAATCTAGAGGAGCTCACTATCGTTTGAAAAGTAAAAAATAGAACCATAGACTTTATGCAGAGAGCCTTTATTGGGTTTACTTTCTAATATTCGTTTCAAACAAGTTTTTTCTTTATCTAGTTATTCAAGCCCCTACCCACATCCCTTGCCCTATCCTTAACTTAACATGGTTTACTTTGTTGCCATTACCAAAGGTGGGCACATGACAAGACCTGAGCAATCAGAGCCTGACATCTCCCATTAACAGTGATCAATTCCGGGATGGGCAGGTAACCAATGTGACAAACTTCCTCAGGGTTTTTGGTGGAATAATTGGTGAAACTATGTTCTTTTTCTAACAGATTTGCCTAGCAGGTTGGAAATTGATGATTGCTATTTCAAGAAGAACTTGACTGAGAATGACTCTCATTCAGTAAGAAGCAGAATCAAGATATGAAGATTCCTCATGTGATGACACAGAACCTGGATTCAGCGCTGCTTATAGATTCATGTTAGCTGAGATGATCGATTTCCCTTTTAGTTAGATAGGCTAATTTGGATTTCTGTAATTGAATTTTGAAAGGTCTTGATTTTTTTCTTTTTAAAACAAGCAAAAATGTTAAATGGAAAATATTTCTAACTCAGGCACCCATTATTTCATGTTTTTTTATTCAAATACTCTCTGAAGTTCTCTCTACTTTCCCCTCTCTCTAATTCATGTTAAGTACAATGATCCACTATCCTTTATGTTATTCCTGTGTTTAAACCTTCCCCTATGACTCCACTTGCAAAAAAAATTCCTTGGCATGATGATTCACAATTTCTACAACATCTTCCCAAATTATGTTCCAAATCCCAAATATCTGTCCTACCACAGGGTTTATTTGCTATTTCTTTCAAATGTGCCCTTCTGTATCCTTTTCTTTGGCCTATGCTATTTTGTCATACTAGAATGTGGTCCTCCAATAAAACCACTATGATTCCATAAATTGATGAACTGACTGATTGTTTACTATATGTCAGTTATTGGATCAGGTGCTGAGAACTTCACTTGCCTGTAATTCACTGACTGTGCACCTATGTATTGTTATTTACTTGGGGATGGGATGATAGACAAGTAAACAATAATTATAGCAATGTAAAGATAAGTAAAGTAACTTTCCATCCTGGTTTGCCTGGGCAATCTGTCTTATGTCTTGTTGTCCTGGCATAAATACTACTAGCATCCTCCTTCACTCTTAAAAACTATCTGTTTGAATGACAAATTCATCTATCTCCTAATTCTAAGCGCCTTAAATATAAAGCAATGGGGAAACACAGAGAATAATGTTTTACATTTTGCGGGGCAGAACAACAAGATCTCTCTCAGCCAAATCGTTAAGGAGCAATAGAGTTTATCAGCATGACAAAGTTGAGGTGGGGAAAGACAGAAGAGGTGGTGTAATAAGAAGCCCACAGGCATCTGCTGGGGGTGTGGAAGTGAGACTGCTGGGAGGGAGAGGGAACTGAAGCTAGTCAATCAATGGAGCACGTATGACAACACATACGTGGAAAGAGGGGTGGAAAGGAGCAATGGTTACACCAAAAATAACAAATATTATTATTACTTCTACTATTGTGAAAATGTGTGGACATACTTCAATGAATTTTGTTTTCTCCTATTTTCCTTTGCCCTAAACTAATCTATTTCTATTTACTTTACCCAGGGATTTCTGTTATTTGAAAAGTACAGAGAGACTGAAGTCATTTACCTTCTTGGACTTAAAAATGAAAGAAGGAGAAAAGCTAAATTTTATTAGCTTGAACTAATAAAATAGTCATTCTTGTAGACCATAAAAGGAAAAATGTTGTCACTACTATGTGATTCCCAGTGAATTCATATGTTTCCTGGCAGGAGAGCAGGGGTGAGTTTGGATTGCTCAGTGAGAAGAGTTCTGAAACGAGAAAGAAACTTCTGGGTCTGCAAGAAAGAGCGCCTGTGTGCTCTTGCTGGTAGTGCTTAGGGAGGCTTGCCTGGGTGAGGCGTAAGGGAAGCCAGGTCGCTGACATGGGCTCTTGACCTCACAAAAGGTTTCAAACACATTTCTGCATGCAGAGGAACCAGATGGAGAGGGATAAAATGTCTCTCTGAGAAACTAGATGTCCAGGCAACTGATGATGGATAGAACTTCCCTGGGCCCTGTGTGTCACCTTGGGTGTAAGAAGGATTGAGCGCCAACATCATCTAGGGTGAAATGCCAAGTGGGATGGGCTGACAATCCTCAGAAAGTTGCCTTAAAGACAATAAGTAATTCATTCGTGTGCATCTGAATTTATGAATTCAGATTTATACCAGCTCCATAAAAATGAAATTACTATTCACAAAGTACTTAATGTATGCCAAACATCACATAAACTGCTTTACATCTCCTTTCATCTTCAGAATACTCTATGGAATGGGTGCCAATTATCCTAGATGAACAAAGTAATCCTAGATGAACAAAGTAAAATTGAAACAAATTAAGTAAATTGTCCCAAGGTCACAAAGATATTAGGAGTTTGCCTGTACTATTTCTATTACACTAGAATCCCAAATTTCTCAAAGCATGCATTGACATTTTATTGACAGTGACCTTTGAATGCACTGCCATTACTCCAAGCCAGGTATTTTGTATGTGGTAACATATTGCCTTATGAAAAAATAATTTCATGTAGTATTTTACATTTTCTCATTATTTCATTATATCTCTAGCACTATTTTATGACTTTTTATAATCTAAATTTTTATGTGTGATTGAATTTAGGTATCTCCCAATAGCTCCTGGCATAGTGATATGTATTTAACTAATATTTCAATACTAAAGAAGGAAAAAAAAAGATGGGAGTTAGATCTCTAAGGCATTTTGGGGGGTGCTTTGGTTCACCAAGAATGATACCTAACTGCCTCCTAATCATAACATTCAGAGAGCTCTTCTTCATGGAGCTTCACCCTGTGCATATTTTCTGGATCCCTTTCCACTGCTCTTTTGAGACCACTTCTTTCTTGACTTCCTTATGGCCATGCCCTGTTGGTTTCAGGGTACCTTTCTGGCATTCCTTTTTCGGTAAGCTCTTCCTCTCTTATGGTATAGAATGAGACTTGGCAAAGTTTTGCTATAAAGAGCCAGACAGTAAATAGTTTACATTTTGGGAGCCTTTTGTTTTCTGTTCTTACAACACAAAAGTAGTCATGCACAATGTGTAGGCATAGGGTCAAGACAACATTGGAAGGAAACAGTATTTATGAAAATGGGTGGGGCAAAACTCAATTCAAAATGGATCAAAGATCTAGAAATCAGGCCAGGAATCCTGCATATACTAGAAGAAAATTTAGGCCCAACACTCCAACATATCAGCTTAGAAACTGTCTTTCTTAATAAGACCCCTAAATCATAAGAAATAAAATGAAAAAAAATCAATAAATGGGATGGCATCAAACTAAAATTCTTCACAGCAAAGGACACAATCAGAAGCATGAAGAGAGAGTCTACAGAATGGGAGAAAATAATTGCCATCTGTAATTCAGATAGAGCACTAATTTATATATAAGTTATATAAAGAACTCAAAAAGCATAGCACCAAAAAAATAATAATCCAATCAATATATGGACAAAGGAACTGAACAGATGCTTCACAGAAGAAATATAGTAAAAAAATAAATGAAAAAAATGTTCAATATCTTTAGCAATTACATAAATGCAAATCAAAACTATACTGAAAGTTAATCTCACTCCAGTCAGAACTGTAATTATCAAGAGTACAAGTAACAATAAATGTTGACAAGGATGTGGGGAAAAAGGTATACTCATACATTGCTGATGGGCCTGCAAACTGGTACAACCACTCTGAAAAGCAGTATGAAGATTCCTCAGAAAACTAGGAATGGAACTACCATTTTACCTAGCTATCCTACTTCTCAGTATATATCCAAAGAATTTTAAATCAGCATACTACAGTGACAAAGCCACATCAATGTTTAAAACAATTCATAATAGATAAGCTATGGAACCAACCTAGGTGCCCTTCAACAGATGAATGGATAAAGAAATTATGATACATATACACACAACAGGATTACTAAACCAAAAAGAAGAATGACTTTATGATATTTCCAAGTAAATGGATGGATCTAAAGACTATTATGCTAAGTGAAATGAGCCAGTTCCAAAAAATCAAAAGTTAAATATTTACATCTGGATTAGTCATCCTGCCATCCTTTGACTTTAAAGGTTCTTTTTGTGCAAATCATCCATCTATGGCTCTCATCTTGCTCTTTCTTATCCTTGCTGAATTCCC